ACAAGGGAAGTGTGTTCTCCAGCCCTGGCCACCAGGACCAGATTTTACACTTGGATTAGGGAGATGATATTCCATGCCCCAGAGGGAGGCAGGGAGGCTGGCTGGAGATGCGGAAGCTTGCTGTACAGACTCCAGACCCCAGAAGCAGCCTTGGCCTTGCTCACGGTACCAGCTGGGGTCAGAGGCCCTGGCACATGCCAGGGGCACTCTGGCTCCAGAGGCCACACTCCAAAACCACATCATTGGGTCTTTAACTTTTTGGACTGCCTGATGTTTGAGCTTGGCTTTAAAAGGCAAAACCAACCAACTAGACAATCCGTGAAAAAGGAACGGCGGGTACAGATGAGAGCTCAGCTCTGCCTCCCGAGAAAGGGGTTTGCCACACCCGCACAGCTGTCCCACGGCCTGCTCCCCATGCAGACGGAGACTTCCGGCCTGGCAAGGGACCTTCCCAGGAGATGGCGTGACGCTTGGGGATTCCCCCCAATCACTTAAGCATATTCTAAAGTGTTCACTAATTGTAACTGCTATCTTATTCCAGTTCAAGGCTTTCCCAGGGCACTGCACTCTTGAGGAACGCCAACACTTGGCTATGAACTTTGAGGCCTGTCTGATGTGACACCCTTCCTTCCCCAGTGTAGATCAATAGATTTTTATTTGTAAAATATATTTCTGGACTAAAATATTTATATGTTGATTTTTTTTCTTTTTATATCATGCCATCTATAGTATTTTGAAATCTGTTTTTTGTTTTTTTTTTTTTTTCATTTTAAAATACATTTTTTGGGATGCCTGGGTGGCTCAGTTGGTTGGGCATCTGCCTTCAGCTCAGGTCATGATCCGGGATCCTGGAATCAAGCCCCATGTCAGGCTCCTTGCTCTCTCTCTGATAAATAAAATCTTTAAAAAGAAATGATTATATTGTACCCTATTGTACAGAGATACAATTTCTTTAGCTGATTTCCTACAGACAGACATTAGGTTGTCTCCAGTTCTTCAGTATCAGAAACAACACTGCATCTTGACAGCACCTGAGTATCTTGGGCACTTGTCCAGTTTGATCCTTTGGGTAAATTTCACAAAGTCAAACTGCTTAGTTAAGATGCAGATGCTTGGGCGCCTGGGTGGCTCAGTCGGTTGAGCGACTGCCTTCGGCTCAGGTCACGGTCCTGGAGTCCCGGGATCGAGTCCCGCATCGGGCTCCCTGCTCGGCGGGGAGTCTGCTGCTCCCTCTGACCCTATGCCCTCTGATGTGCTCTCTCTCTCCCATTCTCTCTCTCTCAAATAAATAAATAAAATCGTTTAAAAAAAAAAGATGCAGATGCTTTACAACAACTTCTACCAACTACGAAAGAGTACAAGGTTAAAAGTAAAAGCAGAAAGTCCCCAGTTCAACTCCCCAGAGGTAATTACTATTATTTTTTTAAACGATTTTATTTATTTATTCGACAGAGAGAGACACAGCGAGAGCGGGAACACCAAGCAGGGGGAGTGGGAGAGGGAGAAGCAGGCTTCCCGCGGAGCAGGGCGCCCGATGCGGGGCTCGATCCCAGGACCCTGGGGCCACGACCCGAGCCGAAGGCAGCCGCTTAACCGCTGAGCCACCCAGGCGCCCCCCCCCCCGAGGTAACGATTGGTAATCTTGTGCGTCCTTTCATCTACAGGAGTCATTCCATTCTCCTCCCTGCACAACCTTCTGTTCCAGAAGCAACCATGTAAGCGTACTTCATGTGCATCCTCTGGTTTACAGGTGTGCTTGCAAAATGCGGCTTGTCATTTTGGGAACGTGGCTGTTTTACTTTTTTGCTCTTTACTGAATCATTCCCATCGGCAAATAAATATGCTGGTATTTCTCCAATTTTGGAAAAATGCCTTCTCTTGACTCAGCTTCCCCCAACAGCTATCTCCCCATTTCTCTGCGTCACTTCGCATCAAAACTCCCCCAAAAGTTGTCCATACCAGTTAACACCTCTCTTCCCTTTCACCCTAAGCCCACTTCCATGAGACTTTTACCTTCACCGCTCTACCAAAACGGCACATCAAAGGCTCCGCTGGCCCCATGCTGCCAAACCCGAGTCCACTCTCGGGCCTTGTCTACTCGGGCTCTCCTAGGAGCACAGATCAGGTCACCAGGCCCCCTCTTTGACCCACTTTCTTCACCTGGCTTCCACATGGCACTCTTCGGTTTTCCACACCCCACCACTTGCTCCGTCTGTCTCCTTTTTTGTTTTCTTTCTCCTCTTTCTCCCAACCACTTAATAACGATGTCCCAAGCCTCACTCCTGACCCTCTACTATTCTCTTTCTACATCCTCTCCCTTCTGAGCATTGAGGCTTAAATACCATCTGTGTTTTTGCCTTATTTGTGCTTGAAAAAGTTCTTCCTTGCTCTGGTGACACAAAGACATTCTGCATTTTTTCCTTTTTTTTTTTTTTTTAATAATCCCCTATCTGCAAACCTCGGGGCTTGGGAGTTTTGGAATTCAGGCTGTTCCAGACTTAAGAAAGATGACAATAACAAGATGTTAACATCTAGGAAAGCACCACATAATCATACACATGAACGGTTTTGAAGTGACCCACTCTAGAAGTAACTGGTCCAGGCAAGGATCATCAATAGGTATTAAAACCATTAAATTTTATCATGAGAATGATAAAGTCATTTGGTTGCCAGAGAACAGGGTACGTGCAAGTCACAACAAATCGCCCTGTTAGTAGTTTGCTCACTGCCAAGGGAAAAATCGCACCTTTACAAGGGGAGGAGCTGACAGTTACCATCTTACCAAATGATCAAACTTAACAGAACTATAATGGTGGAAAAACCTGACATTCGCTACGTATCTCCTTACATGATACAATATGAAGTATGTAGCTGAAACACATACACTCTTCCCCAAAATGTCTAAACTGAAACTAATCAAGCCTTTAAACCCAGCTTCCAGTTATAGACATTCCAGGGACAGTATAGAGAAATGGGTTAAATTGACACTGTAAGTTAACAATCAGACAAACCCAGAATGAGGAACGTTCTGTGAGTCTGTTGGTTCTGGTCTTTACAAGATGTCAGTATCACACACCCGCACATGCACACACGGAGTGCTGGATCAAGAGAAATTCAAGAAACAGACCGATCACCAAATGCAATGTACGACCCTTGACTAAATCCTAGTTCAATAAAGATATCTAAAAAACACATTTTTGGTCTGAGACCAAATATCCCTCAATTAGAATCCAAAGACTGAGCAGAGAGGGAGCTTGGTTAGGACCAGGGGTGTGGCAGTTCCCCCACATGCTGTAGCAGGAGGAAGCCCCCCTCCAGAAGGAATCAATGGCCCCATGTCTCAGAGTCTGTTTCTGCAGTCTATCTCACATCATACTTCTTGTGTATGTTTGCATCTCTCACACTAGATTATTCATGAGGACAGGGAGCAGGTCTTATTGATTGACTGATTGATTGAAGGGGCTGGGGGAGAGGAAGAGGGAGAGAGAGAATCTGAAGCAGGCTCCATGCCCAGTGTGTAGCCTGATGCAGAGCTCAATCTCATGACCCTGAGATCATGACTGAGCCAAAATCAAGAGCTGGACACTTAACCAACTGAGCCAGCCAGGCGCCCCTAATTTATTTTTTAAAATTTATTTTTCTATTTCTATTTTCCATAGTGACTTCTAATGTTCACTACACATTGTTCAATGAACAAAAAAACAAATAGTGTTCCAATGCTCAATAAACACTTATTGAGTGGGGAAAACATTTTGGGGATAAATGGGGAAAGTCTGTATATGGGTTGGGTACTGATATAATGGAATTAATTTTTTTAAGATTTTATTTATTTATTTGACAGAGAGAGCGCGCGCACACGTGTGCACAAGCAGGGGGAGCAGCAGGCAGAGGGAGAGGGAGAAGCAGGCTCTCCGCTGAGCAAGGAGCCTGATGTGGGGCTCGATCCCAGCATGACCTGAGCCAAAGGCGGACGCTTAACCGACTGAGCCACCCAGGCGCCCCAACTGTTGTTAATTTTTTAAAGTGTGACAATTATACTGTGATTCTGCAGGAAAATGTCTTTTCTCTTGGGAAATACCTATATGTAGCAGTATATACAGATAAAGTGTCACAATGTTTGCAACTTATTTAAAATGGTTTAGAAAAAAACATATACATATGTTATATAGATAAAGGAAATACAGCAAAAATGGTAAGTGCTGAGTTCAGGTAGTGGATACGTGGGTGCCCACTGGGGTATCATTTTAACTTTTCTGAGTGTTTGGAAGTTTTTATAAGTTTCTTTAAAAACTGCAGTGAGGGGAGCCTGGGTGGCTGAGTCGGTTAAGCGTCTGACTTCGGCTCAGGTTATGATCTCAGGGTCCTGGGATCGAGCCCCGTGTTGGACTCCCCACTCGGCGGGGAGAATGCTTGTCCCTTTGCCCCTCGCCCAGCTCGTGCTCCCCATAAGGGAGCTGCTTAACACGACCGGCCCTGCAATGGGCAGGGCTGCCCCAGAAGCCCCAGCCGCTGGAGCATCCAGCACCTCTTAGCTGGATGACCGTGCTGGAAAGAGCGGTGAAGAGCCTCCCCCTGGCTTTCTTCTCATTTCTGCTTCCCGCTTCTCCCTTTCCAGCTTTGATTGCCTGCATTTATCTCGTGTAATACTATAATTACCAAAGCAGTGGGATTGGTATAGTTTCTCACTCCGTGAAAGCACATTCCCCTTTTCCTTATTTGAAGGCACAAGAGCTCCTGAGGAAGGAACGCAGGAACGTGGCCCATCTCTCACATAAGGTAAGGAGAGAACCACCCTTGAAGCCCCCGGGGGGGAAAAACAGCTTCATCAGTCTGATTTAACTGAACACTGCATTCCCACACCACCGGGTCTGAATCGCGAGAATACCAGCTGCTGGTGTTCACAGGATGGCACATGTGAGGTCAGGGAGGACACACAGTGAGCCAAGGGCAGGGTTGGGCAGGAAGTTCTTCTGAAAAGCCCCTTCGGCTCTCATCAACGCAAGACACGCCAGGGCCACATATTGCAAGGAGAGCCAAGAGTAGCCAGAAAAAAAAAAACAACTCCATTCTCTTGCCACAGCAACTCTGAATCCGCTGCTCATTTAGCTTCTCCACCCACCCAGGACAGTGGCAAGAGGAGGAAGAGGAGGCAAAATGAGACCAGCAGCCCGTGTTTTCAGAGGCACTTGGATGGGCCCGGCCCAGGCTCTGGGCGGCTCGTTTGCATCGCCGCACATAGTCTCTTGAACTTCCGCGCTCGGCACTGTTACCATTCCTACTTTACAGGTGAGGAGGAGGTGGCACAGGGACTGAAGGTCAGAGGGCGGTGAGTGATCAGAGGGGCGAACACAGCCCAGGCAGACAGACCTCAGGACGATATGAAGAACCAGCTGGGGAAATGTGCTGGGGAGGGAAGGAGCGGGGGAGAGAACCAACCAACTCAAACTGACTTGTTATGCCTTTTCAATCAAGGACAGAGCAACAGATTTTTGGGTTAAAATCTGGCCCTTATCTCAAAGATTAGCTAATGCAAGACTCAAGGTAGGGGAGATGTTTTCAGGAGTAATACCTCTATCCTCCTCTGGGTGATCCAGAAATATAAGGAAGAGTGGTAAGAATAATGGGGCATGGACCCCTGTGTTGTAACAAAAATCGTGAGCTGGGAGACAACCCCCACTCCTTCTCTAGTCCCACCTGGCGCACGAGGGAGGCAGACACATGCAGGGAGGTCACAGCCAACTCAAAAGGCCACTTATCCCCCATATTTATTCCTGAGGACAAAAGTGGTGATGGCTTTGAGCCTGGAGTTTTCTCCCTTCTCATGTCGATTCTGGTAAGAAGAGTCTTTCCCTTACACACGAGCTGAGTGGCAGGGGGACCACGTGCTCGAGGGCACTCCCCTCCCTGACAGCTGCAGGACAGCAGAGGTCACAAAGTCACTTCACAAACTTCATCATCCATTCCCAAAACCAGCACTGCATTATCTTCATTCGTTTATTAATTCACACGCTTTCAAAAAGAAAGAAAAATCTTTGAGCTAAAATTTGAAACATACAAATGAATGCCACCATGTATTTTTTCAAAGCTACATAACATGAACACCAATCCAAGGCAAATGCTGAAGCCAGTGGGGGGCAGGCGGAGGGTCCGAGATGAAGGGGATAAGGTAAAATCAAACCAGGTGGAGCCTGGCTATCCACACCCACCCCAATCTAGGCTGCAATCTAGCCCTGGTCTCCAGGAATGCACAGGCTGAAGGCATCCTTCCCTACCTTCCCGAAGGCGCTCCAAGTGTCCAGCTCGCTACTGGTGCGGTGGTGCGGGGTGGGAAGGTGTGGGGCAGAAGGGTGGGGGTATGGGGTGGGGTGGTAGAAAAAGGACTAAGCGGGAGCTAAAAGTATGAGTGCTCTTATCAAGGGTCTGTCTCTAACCTGGACAGATCTTAGCATTTCTGAGTCTCCATTTTTTCACCTGTAAAAAGAGGAGACTGGCTTAGGTCTCTGAGATTCCTGCTAATTTGAAGGCTTACGGATTTAAAGTTAGGGATCACTGTGGTTTTTTTCTCCCCTACCAAGGGTCCCCTTCAGTTCAGAGTGAACAAAAGGACTTGGGAAGCCTCACACATGATAAATACTTTAAAATATTTTCTTTCTTTTTCTTTTTTTTAAAGATTGTATTTATTTGAGAGAGCGAGCACACGAGTGGGGGGGAAGGGCAGAGAGAGGGAGGCACAGACTCCCCGCTGAGCAGGGAACCTGATACAGGGCTCCATCCCAGGACCCTGGGATCATGACCTGAGCTGAGCCACCGAGGCGCCCCCTATGTATTTTCAGAATTAATAGCTGTTTTTTTTTTTTTTTTTCTTAAAGCCTCTATGAGAGAAGGCAAGGGGATACCTATCATTCCCACACTGACTGTGAAGCTCGAGACTCCAGCCGATGCCTCTCCTGGACACCCCTGGGTGGCACCCCAGCCCACCCCCACTATGCCTCCCTCACGTACAGTAACCTGAAGGAGAGACACTCTCACAAGGTGATTAAAGACAGAGAGGAGCAACAGTGCCCCTCACCTTGCCACAGGTGCCACGAGGTGGCTGCAACGGGTGGCCCTGCTCCACACCCAGTGCCGGGCACGTGGCTGGCCAAGTGAACTCAGCAGCACGTGGCCACAGCTGCCGTGAAAAGGTAAAGCAGTCCATACCTGCCTGCACTCTCTCTCTTCAGCAACTCATTCTGGCAAACCATCCATCTCACCTCAGCAGCTCTGAGCCTTGGCAGAAGGTCCAAGCATTGACCTTGAGCTACTGCAGGTAGAAACCTCTCCAGCTCTTCAGAGAGGCCTTGAGAGGTTTTATGGAGGGAGTAGTATTTCCCGCGTGACTAAGAAATACGATTTCTGGAGAGACGTGCGGTGTCTGCCTCTGATACCCTAACCTCCCAGGGTGGTGCTTACTGGGGCTTCCGAGGGAACAACCACATGGCACTACCTTCCTCTGAGGCGCTCCGGAACAAGTACGGTTCTAAGCATGTTATTAGAAATGAGAAATAGCAGGTCTGTCAAAGCAAGTTCTTTCAACTGTCTCCATTCTTTTGAAGTCATTGAACAGCCATTTGCTTAGATCCTTCTAAGCAGCGTAACAGCGAGAACACTGATACTTTGTCAAGTCAAAAGTATAACCTGATTTTAAGTTTCTTTCACAGATTAACTGCAGGGAAATACAGTATAAACCAGCGTCCTCCACTGTCTCAGTAGCCAGGCTCTTGGGCACAGGAACCTCTCATAGAACTAGTGGGTTTAGGCCAATTTTCATTAAAAGGCCTCAGCCAGGTCAGAAGCTGTAACAAGGCTGGTTCCTCTAATTAACGCTTTAAACCAAGCTGGTGGCAAAACGATGAATTCTGCTAGGAAAACTGGCAGAGCCAAAGTTATACTGGGGCACAGGGACCAGCTGAGAAGTGCCATGCTTCTCCTGTCTTCTTCCCTTGGTCACCTCTGACCACGCCATCATTAACCCTGTCAGTCAGAATGTCAGAGCTCCACTACAGGGCCTGGATTCATCGCGCCCCCGGAAGGGAGGTCACCGCTAGGCGTTACCGAGATGCTCTTGCCTCACTTTCTCAGCTTCCTCCTCCGGCAGCGAAGAGATGTCGGTATCCTCACAGCACAGAGGAGAAATGAAGAGATGGCCTCAGGAGTCTTCCCCCAAAGCAAGGGTGCAGCCAAGGTTAAAATCCAGGTTTCTGGACTCCTAAGCTCTCCTCTGAGGCTGGTGTGCTAGGGTGGGCTTTGTGGCTCTGGGATTTATCTCCCCAGTCCTGCCACAGGCCTGGTAGGACCACCCAAGTTAGAAAACTGCCCATTGCCTTGGTTTAGCAATGGCAAGCCCAAGTGCTTCTGGGTTTTCCACGATTGAAAGGGGATCCTCATATCCTAGACCGTACCAAATAATCACACCAGGATGTCTGGTTATATAACTCTTCCCCAACTCTCTATCTGCTTGCTCCTCTAGACTTGGAAAGTATAAAGTAGTAGAGGGAGAAATGGGGGAGCAGAAAAGATACAGGAACATAATACAACTTCCAAGGGTCAAATAAAACAAAATCTGGCCTGAAAGAGAGAGGAGAGCAGTCAAATCTATTAGCCTAACACCTTTAGTCCACTTTTTTTTTTTGAGAGAGAGAGACAGAGACATTGTGAGTGCACAGGTGTGAGTGGGGAAGGGGCAGAGGAAGAGGGAAAAAATCTTAAGCAGGCTCCACGCCCAGCACGGAGCGGAAGCAGGTTCTATTTCAGGACCCCGAGATCATGACCTGAGCTGAAATCAAGAGCTGGACACTCAACGGACTGAGACACCCAGGCCCCTGGTCCACTTTTAAATTGATTTATACAACTTCCAATCCTTACAGGTAGAGTAAAACACTCAAACTGCTGGCTCCAAATCCTTCTCTGCTCACATCTAAAAGCAGAAGGATCAGATAAGACCTAAGAACAAACTTTAAGAGACTGGAGTCTTTTGATGGCAGAGACCGGTTCCTAGGCCAGCTAAATCGTTTCACCACAAACAAAAATAAAAAGACCATAGTTTTCTCTGATACCCTCACAGTATCAGAGATTTATCATGTTTGATCTTATTATGCTGTTCTTTTTTTTTAAATTCCAGGGATATTTGCTGCCAAGCCTGAAACGGGAAGGGCAGCTGCAAGGTGTCTATGATGAGTCCTGTAATCTAATCTGGAAACAGTTCTGATAGCAGGCTCTTCCTATAGCAGGCAGGTCTGTGACATTTTGAGGGCTTCCTTCACAGCTCCCAAATGCTCATGCAGCTGGACATCAAGGCCACTATCTAGTCATTTATATTCAAATATGAAAAGCCTCGCAAGCAGCAGTGTCTGGGACAGCAGCAGCTGAGAACCAGAACAAGAAAAAAACAATGTGGTCAAAAACTCTTAACTAAGGTGTGCTGAAAGCCTAGTGCATCTTCTGGCTGGTGAGATTCAGTTTACTTAAAGGAGAAGAGGAAAGGGACCATGTGGAATAATTCTACTGCACCCAGCCACCCAAAGCTGCAGCAGAGTCCTGGATAAGTACTAGCTTCTTTTAAGCTCTTATCAAGTTAGCAAACTCAATCCAAACCCGTCTTTTCAAAGCAGTGCGATGAGATTTGCCGCATACTTTCTGCCCAAGTACGCTATGAAGGGTTGGGATCCCTACTGTCCAGGAGGGCTCCAATTCCCCGCCAAGCTGCCCCCATCTGTAACTACTTCTCCCACTCTTTTGTGAGGCCTTGGGCACTTTTCTTCCCTTTAGTTCCTGCTGCCTGCAGTGGTGCTGAGCCAGCAGGTATGGGGAAATCGCCCTTGGACTGAGAGCCAAAAAGGAAAAAGCTGCACACCCCTGATGAACACAGCCCACCTAATGGGACAGCCCCCGGCTCTCATCATACCTGCCCACTCCTGCGGAGAGGGAAAAGCAAAGGAGGAAGGTCAGATATCAGAGTACTGACAGGACCAGAGGAGCAGAGTAGAGGTTCTTTTCTCTCAGACCTCAAATTTGTTCAGGGGATTTACAGCGTACTGGTCCCTACCCTTTCCACGCACACCTCACTGGGAAAACAGCAGTTCCCGAGGCAGACCTCCAGAACCCCCAACACCGACTTCCTGGCAAAGCAGATGCTGATGACCATCCTGAGGCCAGGGACGATGAATCCTCTGTTGCTTTATGAAGTCTGCATTCTCTCCCATAAAGCTGTTTCCACTCCTACGTCCTAAGACCTCTGACTTCGGAACTAGAACTAGAAGGTTCAAAAGTGACAGAGACACAGAGAAAGCCCAAGAAAGAACAGCAGGAATCTGGTCAGCCTGCTGCCCTGACCTGGCCCACCTCATGGCTAAGGGAAGGCTCTTTAGTCTTGGGGCTGAAGGAGCTCATCTTTCAGTCCAGGACCGAATTAATTCATTTTAAAAATTATCCAGGTGTTGATTGAACCTGGTGATTCCTGCTGAGCAAACAAGAAAGCAAAACTCTGTTGCCGTCTATATTTGTACTGGAATAACCCCAGTAAATCCGTTTCGATCAGAAATCTGCTTGGCGTGAATAAGCACAACACAGGCATTTGAGTTACACAGGAGTCAAAGGAACAGGGAAATGGAGGAGGATGCTGGCAGGATGGAGGCTTTCAAAGAAGCCCTGTAGCCATCAGATTCTGAATAAGGGAAAACCCCAGGAGAGTTTGAACAAATCTGAAAGAAAATACAACAGCATGACTCTGTAAGGAGAAATGCCATCAGAATAAAAAATCCTAAATCTTAAATTCCACCAATCCAAGAAATTGAACGGGAAGATGCCACAGGACCGAAGGCATCGGGGTTTGAGGAAAATTCTGAGAAAACGGACAAATTGACACAGAGTCAGGGTCTCGCAGCCAAGTGTCACCTTCACCACCTTGCTTGAGCAAGCTCAGTCCACGGATGCTTACCTGCCCTTCAAAGATTAAACACTTCACACACTCACTGGAGTGTCATTCTAAAAACATGCCTGCTGGGAAATTTTACCTCTGAACAAATGGAAGGACATCAAATGATTCTCAAAACAGTAAGCCAGGTAACACTCTAACTCATTTTCACTTTGGTTATCTATAAGAAATGAAGGATGTCCATACATTGCAATCCTGTTGGCCTTTCTTTTTCTTTTTTAAGATTTTATTTATTTATTTGAGAGAGAGAGAGAGAGAGAGAGTGCACAAGTGGGAGGTGCAGAGGGAGAAGCAGACTCCCCGCTGAGCAGGGAGCCTGACTCGGGAGGGGGGGGCTCAATCTCAGGACCCTGAGATCATGACCTGAGCTGAAGGCAGCTGCTTAACCAAATGAGCCACCCAGGTGCCCTTGGGTCTTACCTTTCTGGCAATAAAATGGCCAGAGGCACAGAACTGCTGAGTTTTCTAGTTGCTTCTCAAGGGGATTCCCACAGTGAGTGGCTGAACCTGCTGGTATTAAAAGTCTCTTCCATGAGTTAAGTCCATGGTGGTTTGTTCTCCTGCACACGACACGTGAACTTCAAGATCTTCAAGTCTTGGTACAAGTACACAGTTCCCATTCTTGTTATAGCACCAGTGTCAGATTTACCATTTAACCAAGAAAGGTAAACTCCAATATGAGACAGAACGATATACACCTCTCTGTTCTGGCCATGACCACTAGAACTTAGAGGAGCATGACTATCTTTGAAAAAAGATGGACTTCTCAGCCCAATACCTTATTTTATAGGGCCTCTGGTCAGAGCTGCCCGATGGGAATATAAACCAAAATGGCCACTGGGATCTGTGGAAAGAGATGATCCTTTCAGCCAACTTCCTTAAGCTCTGACCTCTGAAGAGGAGGATTCCAATTCATCTTATGGATCCTTATATTTCAAACAGACATAAAATAGAGGCTTCTAAAGTGATAATAGGGAAGGGAACCTATAGAAATAATCATCAGCTTTAAGAGCTAAAATGATTGCAGTCCTCAGAATTTTCCCTACTAGCAAAGAGTCCCGATTACATATAAATATAACCTGCCGGCTCAGCAAAGGAATGGATCTAAATTCTGAGCAGCTCAGGGACAGCTCTGGGTCATGGACTAGCCAATGTCTGTATTGAGAAAACACCGGAGCAGGAGCATTAGTTGTTTTCTTCAGAGCTTGTGGTGCACGAGACACCCTCTTGGTCCTTCAAGGTCACGTCCAATTAGAGACGAGGCTGACCTTCCCGGGAAAGCTCATTTCAATTGGAAAGGCAGTAATTACCCCCCATAAGACTGCGTGTTTATGCTGCTTTTCCTTCTGTAAAATCAGTCTTTGGTCTCCAAGCTCACTTGACGAGGTCAATCGGCATTCTGCATTCGTGTGTGTTTCCAGTAGAAGTGACGTTCCACATGCTGGCAAGAAGGGGTTTCTTGCTCTAGAGGGCAGCTGGCGTGTCCACAGAATCTCTGGCTTTGTGGGCAGAGGAAAAGACCTCTCTCCCAGAGGGACAAGTGGTGCCCATCACCAAGCCCGCAGCCTTTCCAAGAAGACCCCAGTGTCTGAGGATAGAACATGACCTATTCCTGGGCCAGCAGCACAGAAACTGCTGGGGACCAAATCCAGGACCTGAAATCGGGACCCTGGATCTGCACAAGAAGGGTGAAATGCTAAATCATAAGCGGGGGACTGGAAAAGCAGAAGGAGCATGAACAAAGGAGGAGTGCTTCTCAATTCTAGTTAGCTAGCTGCTGCCACTTTATTTAAATCAGAGAAATAGTTTCTTTAGAAAACAATAACATGGGAGCAAGGGGAAAAGTCCAAACGATGTTCCCACACTTCTCAGTTCTCTCCTACATCAATGCAGCACAGGACGATGCCTGGCCCTGCTTATTGAGAGAGGAAAGCCATCCCTCTCTATAAAGGAAAGAGAACGCTGGCCCACCCACTCTGCCTGTGACAAAGGCCTTCTTTCTGCATTTGCTCTGGGAAACTGATAAGATCACAGGAACAGGTTCATCCAGACACCCTGCTCCTTTAATTACTGCTTTAAAACAAGAGAGCTACACAGGAGAACAGACCAGGAAGAGAGTCAGATCCTCTTGTTTGGACCTGACCAGGATGAAAGGCCAGGTGTGAGAGACAAGGAGAGGCTGAGATTGTCCAACTGATGGGGCCAGTGAAAGCCAAGGCACCATCACCAGGGAGCAGGTCTCACGCTCTAGGAGAGGTGATGCTCCACATGAATAGGTAAGGCCAATGCCCCGGTGGAACTGGTCTCAGGAGAGAAATCACAAAGTGATACGGTAATGCCATCAAAGCACTTAGAAGGATGAGGTGGTCAGGGACACACAGAGCACTAGTATCACTGATTGTTAAGTTATTAAATCACTTCTTTTTTTTTTAAAGATTTTATTTATTTGAGAGAGAGAGAGAATGAGAGAGAGAGAGAGAGAGTACATGAGAGGGGGGAGGGTCAGAGGGAGAAGCAGGCTCCTTTGCTGAGCAGGGAACCCGATGTGGGACTCGATCCCGGGACTCCGGGATCATGACCTGAGCCGAAGGCAGTCGCTTAACCACTGAGCCACCCAGGCGCCCAAATTATTAAATCACTTCTTAAAGTAAAAAGCAATGATTCTAGGCCCTTAATTAGACATGCCTGACTCAGAGACCAAAGTCAAGACTGAAAACCCAACATGTGGCCCAAGAAGCCCACAGTGATCTCCTTCATGGCTGTTCCCATCCCTGGTCTCCCCCCCCCCCCCCCCAGCCCTGCCACTCTTCCCTTTCACCTGGGCCTGATGGGGAATTCTGCCCAGGATCTGAGACCATGAGTCTGTGCCTAGCTTGTCCTTGGACTGTAAGAGGTCAGCAAGGTAGGCAGAACAGCTAGGGGCTCTAGAACACAAAAAGCGTAAAGATGTCATGCTGTTCAAAAACACACACAGCAGGTGGATTATTTTCCACGTGGGCTTCTGCCATTTCCACGGGAACCACAAAACCAGAAGAAACTAAGGGGGCCTTGCTGGGGAGCCAGGGGGAATACAAAGTGAACTGTCAACAAGGAGGGAAGAAATAATTTAAAATGGAAGCAAGCCTATAAACCTAAGGAAGAGACACACAGTTAATTCAACCAGAAGCCAAGTTTTGACCTGAGCTTGGGAAGATGCTGACCACCAAAGGGAATATAACAGAAGAATCTGAGCCACGAGCATGAGCCAAACAAGCCAATGGCCCCTACAGCAAAGGGAGCCTAAATAAGGAGCCCAGGAGCCCCAGACCGACCAGAAATACCCTATAGGTTCTTTCCTGAAGTCTAGATTTTCTCGACAATGTGACATGCCATACCAAACCACAAACTGCAAAGACATAATCTGAGCTTATGAGGAGAACTATTTAGATGAGTCAAATTTGGCTATTTAATACGCAAATCGTGTTTTGCAGCAGGAGACACACCCATGACGGGAATTACAGATGCAAAGAGAAGAAAATCTCTGGGCTCACAAGTAGCCTTTGATAGCTACAGACACTGGGCACTGTAGTTTTGATCTTGTCGGCTGGAGTCCGCAAGTTGGAGAATATAAGCCTTTTCTGACCCTCTGTTCCCACCTTACGTGTATATTTAGATAATTGGTGTTTAACATTAGTATTCTAACCACCCACCTGAACTAATTTTATAAGGTAGGGTGGGAAGTGAGATAAAATCCCCTAGATTTCCTCTGGGATCTATAAATAGGGCTTCAGGAAGGCAGGCGGCCTACCTAGCCAGGACTTTAAGAAAGAGTCCATTTCCTCGGGAGGTTCCTCCTTTTCTTCCAGTTACCGACGCCTCATGGAGCCAAGTCACGGGATGTCTAGCTAGCCTCGGGAATACACACGTCATATCCCCAATGGCAGCAAGCGAAAATGCTTCTCACATCTGCAGGCTCAGATTCTCCTTATTTTCACATGGGTTACCAGCTCTGTTTTAATTCTCTAAGCTCATGCTGCAAGGGAGCGGAATCACAGAGATCATGCAGAGATTCGGTGAAACACATCAAAACAGTAAGATGGGTTGGTGACAGACAGAACTGATGAACAATTTCTGATAAAGCAAACATAGGGAAATGTTGATTGTAGAGTTTAGGTGGTGGTCACATGGGGGTCTGTTGCACAATTCTCTCATTTTCCTGTCTCTGGCACACCTGTTTGCTTAAGGATGGAGGCAGCTTTGCCTGAGTAAGAATGTCACTCACCTCTGAGATCAGAAGACCTACCCTTACTTTAAGCCAGTCTTCTGGCCTGAAGGAGGTCTATCAAATCACTAGGGGCTCTTTAGATGGGATGTGTTAGAATCAGTCTTATCACAATTAGAGACCTTTTACAAATAACTCATGTTTAGGAGGTAAGTCTGCTGACCCACAGTCTGAGGTTGGTAGGATGATGTAATTTTTCTACCTTGACAGGTGTCCGAGCTGTGCTTGTATATGCCCTTGTCAAAACTCAGTGAACATATACTTAAAACGTGTGCCTTTCATTAGATGTAAATTTTATATCAAGATAAACTATAAACAAGTATTGAATACCAGTTAATGGTATGCATGTCGAAACATTTAGAAGGAAGTATATGGATGTCTGCAATTAACTCTGGAATGTGTCAGAACCATCAGACTTACAGATGGACAGAAGAGTAGGTAGGTGAGTAGGCATGCGATGACAAAACAAGCAGAGCAAAAGAATATATCTGAGGGGGCCAGTGGTAGTATGGCTAAAGTAAAGTTCCTCAGGTGGCTTAAATAAACTATGGTCTGTCCATACCACGGAATACACTTAACCCCCAAACAAAAACCAACAAGCTATTGATATGCACAACGACATAGAAAGGGAATTACACTAAGTGAAAAAAGCTAATCCTGAAGGTTACATACATATGATTCCATTTATACAGCATAAACAAAACAATGAAATTATGGAGACGGAGGACAGATGCGGGTTGCCAGGGGATAGGAATGGGGGGAGCGGGAGGCCTGTGACTAAGAAGGAAAGCACTAGGGCTCTCTGCTGTGATGGGGCACTCTGTCTCTTCACCGTGGTGGTGGACACTCCAACCCACACATGTGATAAAGCTGCACAAACTACACAACACACAAATGGGTGCCTGTCCCACTGGTGACATGAGGTGAGGTCT